CCAGCATTCTGCATGCAATTTTAGTATTTGCAAGCATCCCCTGAGGTCCAGATTGACCTCGGGCTAGAAGTCCTGGTCTAGAAGAGCTAAAAAGGCTGCAGTCAGTGTTTAAATGGAAAGGAGGAATTTATACACATGTGCTTGGGTGTCTATGGAGTATCCCGAGAAGGACATAGGTACCAGTTGTTGCCTCTTGGGAGAGGAGGTGGGTGGCTGGGGACACGGGCAGGAAGGAGATGTAATTTCCCTTTTATGCTGTTAGAATTGTGTCATGTGTGTTATCTTAAGCTTTTTCATTTAGAAAATTTCCAGGATTCATAGTTCCATGGAGGGATTATGGAAGGGAGGGAGGATTTTCTGGAAGGTGATGGAGAGCTTAAATGGTGCTGCCAGTCTGGGCTCTGCTAACATCATCCAGCAAGGCTCTTTAGAGACGAGAAGGGGCCTGTCTTTTAGGGGAGCATGTTGGATACAGATGTGTTATGGAGAAAATGGGGTCAAGAGCACAGTCCTAGTTTTTTGCTATGGCTTTTCTGCCCCCTCAAGTTCCCCCTCAGGCCTTGTTATTGTTGGGAAGTCCTACCTGCTGTCTAATCTGAATCCCTCTTAATAATCATATTCATTCCCTTATGTTTCCACTGAGGGTGGGCAGAGAAGCAGCAGGAATGGAAGACCCTTTTGGGGGAGGGTTGCTCCCTCTATGTGGTCTGTTCAAACCCAGGACGACATTTATGAGAGTCCTTTTGTGGAGGAGACAGAAGGCCACCCAGTAACCTCCTACACAGGCACTCTGGGGGAGCGTCACAACCCTCTCCCATTCTCTTGGTCCCTAGTATGGCACCTAGGTGCTTCCTTGGCTGGAAGCATTAGCCCATGACTTGGACTTGGGACTGACCGGATCATGGATGGAGTTCTGGCCTTGGGGTGGCTGAGGGCAGTGGAAGGAGCCAAGATGTTCACTCACCGCCCCACACCCTACCAGGTAGGAGTTCTGGTATTAGAGGCTCCCCCACTTCTGTTGCAAGGTTGGCTTTTGTATCACCGATCTCTGTTGGAGGGAGCCCAGTATTGCCCCCTCTCTTGCAGCCCCTCCCCTTCCAACCCTGTCCAGGTATATCCACAACCACTATTAATGTGATTCAATATTCAAGAGTCTTTATTGAAGACTTGAGATGGGACTTCCATCTCAGAGGATGTGGGAATCCCAGTTCAAATGACACAGGATAAACTGGGAAGGGCCAGGATGGACAGGTTGTGGATATGGGAGTCATGGGTCAAAGTCTTATCCCAGATGGCTCAAGGTACAACGGGCTGCCTGGGCTGGAATCTGGGTCGTCCCCACTTCCATTCTGCTGAAAGCTTCTTGAAGGAGCTGGTTCTCCACTTCAACTTGCTAGAGCCTAGCCTCATCTTTTAGTCAATTGGGAAGGCTTCTCAGAGGGAATCCAGTCCAACTGGATGAAGTACATTCTTCTTTTTGGTCTGAAAAGAAAATTGTCAAGCGTAAAGAAAAATACTTTTTTTTTTTTTTTGAGATGGAGTCTCATTCTGTCACCCAGGCTGGACTGCAGTGGCATGATCTTGGCTCACTGCAGCCTCTGCCTCCCAGGTTCAAGCAATTCTTATACCTCACCCTCTGAGTAGCTGGGATTACAGGCACATGCCACCATACCCGGCTAAATTAGAGACGGGGTTTTGCCGTGCTGGCCAGGCTGGTCTCGAACTCCTGACCTCAAGTGATCCACTCGCCTCGGCCTCCCAAAGTGTTGGAATTACAGGCGTGAGCCACCATGCCCGGCCAAAAACTACTCTTTGGATGGAGACTTTAGGAGGAGGCAGAGGACAAACTTCCAGCGGTCTTGGAAGGAGCTCACGTCCATCAGCCAAAGTGAGGAGCTAGGGAAGGGGTCATCACAAAGGGATCCGCCATGACAGTGGCTTGAGTCTAGGTACCTCTTCCAGGTGCTCTATCCAAGGCAATGGGGGGATGAGGGAAATGCCTAAGGCGGAAACTTAGATCCCAAGAACAGGAGAGATTAGGCAGGGAGCCCAGGGGACTTGCTTCAGAAAGGCAGGGAGCAGGCTGCACTTGGGCTAAGGACCAGCCCAGTAGACTTTTGGTCACTTCCACAGCTCCCATGGCCTCTTCCCCAATCCTGTCTTCAACCTGCAAGATGTTTATCATCTCTCAGACTTTACGCCTACACTGGAGAACATGCCAAGAATTCCACCTATCTGGTCCTTTCTTCTCTCAGTCCCTCCATTTGTGTTTCAGAAGTCAGCACAGCGGGGGAAGGGGACATATGCTTTGGGGTCTACGAAGCCCCACTTGAAGCCCAGCCCAACTTACCAGTCCTGTGACTCTGGGAAAGTGTCTTAGCCTTCCTGGGGCTTTGATTCCTCCTTCATAAAGTGGGGACAGTATCACCTGGTTTTCAGGGCTGTTGGGAAGATTAGCTGAGATAATGGCTACGGAGGGGCTTGCACAACCAAATGGGCACAAATCAGGGTCAGCTCCTTCCTTTCTGGGGTGGGGAAGCTATGTCCAGGAAAGGCAAATAAACCCAGTAGGGGCTGCGCAGGAATCAGGTGTCAGGCACAGCTGTGGGCACAGCCTTCCTTTCCTGCCCCATCCAGGGTTGGGAGCCAGCAGCTTTGGAAACCCCCAAAGTTCACCTCCCTTGACTTCTCCAAGAGCCTTAAGATCTGAGAAGAGAATTTCAGAAAGAGGAGGGGATCTCAGCCATGGCCAGGCATGGCCCAACTCCACTTAGACCAGTGTGGCCTTTCTTCTTCCTAGACTCTCCTCAGCCTCTCCCAGCTCACCTCCCTCCTCCCTGCCCCAGCTCCTCCTTCCCCTACCTTTGCCAGCTCTCCAACCTGGATCTTGACAGTGTGGAGGAGTGGGGATGAGAGGTCCGCCTTGCCCATCGCATCAGGAACCCCTCAAATGTAAGGACTCTGTCTTCTCCAAACCTGGGCTCTGCCAGGACTGTTTCCCTGACTCCCTCTGGCCCTCTTCCTGGCCCGGACTGGCTCCCAGGTCTCGAGGTGGGCCAGCTGTTCCTGAGTGCCCCTCTAAGTCTGCCAGTGTCTCTCCTTCCATACTCCCTTGCCCATTCCTTGCTCTGGATCCTCAGCCCACCTGGGAGTCCTGCTATTTCTTGAGTGGCTAAATTTGGGGGAACGACAGAAGAGACTGGTGTCTGTCAGGGCCTGGGAAGGGGTGGTGGATGCAGCTCCATGCGGTGCCCTCCCCTGGGTGGGGAAGGAGGAGTGCAGATGGAACAGCCTCCCGCCTGTTACACCCTCCCAGCCCCAGACAGAGCCAAGCTCTCCTAGCAACGGTACAGTAGCTGGGAAGTAAGTGGGGTAGGGGAACAATGATATCATAAATTATCCCCAGCCCCTCCCTCCCAGCCCACCCTTCCTCAGTTGAGAATGGCCTCCTTTTTCTCTCCACCTGCTCCTCATTCAGGATTCCCTCAGCAAAGCTAGCCTCTGCTTAGTGCCCCTTATAGATGTCCCTCGAGGTTAAAGTGACCATTCTCTGCCTTCCGGTTGGGGTCCAGAAGGAGGGAACTCTCACTATCCCAGGATCTGAGGCCCTGTTGGAACGTTCCCCGCAAGGCAGGAGCTGGGAGACTGGCTTCCAAAGGGGGAGCCCAGAGGGCCTGGGAGACTATTGCTATTCCATGGTCTCCGGCTCCTGACTCTTTCTGGGGTGCTGATGGGGGCACAGAGGGGGAATTTCAAAGCATTATGTGGCATTTACTCCTCTTCTGTAAACAGAAGGTTTGGGTGGGGGCTCCCAAGACTTTAAGGGGCCCTCAGACCTCTCACCAAGCTAGGCAAGTCTCAGTTTCCCAATTCTAATAGCTGGAGTCCAGGAACCCTTTTTTTTTTTTTGAGACAGAGTCTCGCTTTGTCACCCAGGCTGGAGTGCAGTGGCGCGATCTCGGCTCACTGCAAGCTCCATCTCCCGGGTTCACACCATTCTCCTGCCTCAGCCTCCGAGTAGCTGGGACTACAGGCACCCGCCACCATGCCCGGCTGATTTTTTGTATTTTTAGTAGAGACAGGGTTTCACCGTGTTAGCCAGGATGGTCTCGATCTCCTGACCTTGTGATCCGCCCACCTCGGCCTCTCAAAGTGCTGGGATTACAGGCATGAGCCACCACACCCAGCCCAGGAACCTTTATGAAGTCACTAAAGCTAGGTGGGATTCCTTCCTTACCTCTCAACTCAGCCATGCCAAGGCAAGAACCAAAGAGTTGGTGCTATAGCCGTATAGATCTTGGTTAGACATGGAGAAGGACTTCCCAAGACAGGAATAAGCAAGATCATGGAATTTCCTGGTTGGAGAGAGAAAAAGTCTGTCATAGTAGCAGGAAACTGGATGGGAACCTCTTGAATTCTATCTCATTAATTCTTTCTTAGCTACATTAAATAACATGTAGTGTCTGGCACAGAGCCTGACACATAGTAATCCTCCACATAGACTATTTTAAAAAATCATGTTATTATGAATTTTTATTGGATGGATATCAGGAGAAAGGGATAAATCCCTGGAGACCCATCTCCCACCCTCTAGGAACCCCACAGGAAAATCCAGATAGGAGCTAGTGCTCTGAGGTACAATATGGCAGCCAATTGTCATGGCAACAGCAGAAGAAGGAGTCTGGTTGGTTGTGGGGGCGGTGCTGGGAAGCCAGCTGGTGCCAGATGGACAAACCCAGCAGAAGGCATCCCCAGCCGGGTGAAGCTGATGCCCCGTGCCCAGGGCTCAACCTCCATATGCCAGCCTCAGCCTGGTCCTTCCCTCCAGGCCTAAAGGCCCCATTGCTGTCTGTGGGGGATGATGCCAAAACCATTCCTCTTCCTGACTCTTGCTTGTATAACAAGGAATGACTGCTTGGAGACAAAAGACTGTCCTGCTGAAGGTCCCCCTGGCCCATAGGCTGATGGATCTAAATAGGTCTGAATTATGCTCACTCCTGATGATGCTGAGGAGCCATCACATCGGGGACTTGAGAGGTCCTGAGGAGCAGGATGCACAGGCACCGTTCTGTACACCCGGTGGAGATTCCACAACGGCTTGTGCTGCCTGGAGGACAAGGAGATGAGGGCTGCAGGGAGGGAGCAGGGCAGGTTAGGGGCAATGTGGCTGAGCTGCACCCTACCTGTCCCCTCCTCCTGGTATGTTGGGCAGCATTCGCACCTGGCCAGTGGATAAAAGAAGCTGCCATCATGGAGTTCACCACCTAATTGTTAACAACGGGTCCCTCTCGAAACAGCCTCAGCAAGATGCTCACCTCCTTCAGACCACGAAAGCCTCAGCCACAGAGCCCAGCCACATTTCTCAGTCAGGCCTCCGTGATGGACTGCACCCGATGATCCATGGCCCTCACAACCCCCCTTCCTTGATTGCCCCCACCTATCTCAATGGCCCCATAACTGCGTCCCTCTGCACTCAGCATTTAACACTAAACATCTGCACACAGCCTTAGAAAACACTCATTCCCATCATCCTGTTTGATCTTCAGGATAACCAAGGAAGGCAGTTAGGGTCCAAAGACATGAAGGGACTTGCCTAAGGTCACCCAGCTGGTAAGTGGGGGAAGCCAGAATTTGTATCCTGACCAGCCTGTCCAATTTCAGAGTCAAAAGCCAAAAGCTCCTTCTTTTGCTGTCCTTCCTGTGGACAGAGCCCCACTGACTATCAAACCCAGAGCAGCCTGCAACGAGGTGGTGTCCACCAGCATTCTGCTGCTTCATGCACCCTGAACCCAAACATTCACTAGAAGGGCCAGTGCAGGCCGGGCACAGTAGCTCACACCTGTAATCCCAGCACGGTGGGAGGTCAAAGTGGGCAGATCACTTGAGGTTAGGAGTTCGAGACCAGCCTAGTCAACATGGAGAAACCCTGTCTCTACTAAAACTACAAAAATTAGCCGGGTGTGGTAGCAGGCACCTGTAATCCCAGCTACTCCGGAGGCTGAGGCAGGAGAATCGCTTGAACCTGGGAAGTGGAGGTTGCAGTGAGCTGAGATTGTGCCACTGCACACTGAGATCGTGCCACTGCACTTGCCTAGGTGACAGAGCAAGACTCCCATCTCAAAAACAAAAACAAAAAAAAAAAAACCCAGTAAAATCCAGTGTGCCCAACAAGGTCTTGGAGGTGGGGGGATGGGAGAAAGGTCTCTACACATTGCTGATTAGCAGTAAGTGACACTGAGGCCAGGCCAGGAGAGGAGCCTCTCCCAGGGAAGGCAAGAGTGGGTGTGGAGACTAGGGTAGCTTTGGGACTCCTTTTTAGCTATGATCCATCTTGTCTTTCCATCCTCTCAACACAGCCCTCCCAGAAGCGGGAGCACTGTGCAGAAGCTGGAGGGAGACCCCATGCTGGGAAGATGAGAGACGCTCAAGCAGGGTCAGTCCCAAGCAGGGCCAGTCCCAAGCGGGATCAGTCCCAAGAGCGTCAGGAGACAGCATGTATAAGGAGGGGAAGGAAGGCTGGAGAGGCCTGGCAGGATCAGGAGTTATAGCCGGGAAGACACGGGGAGAAGGCAGGGGCAGGTCAGCGCCTTGGTGCTGGGGCCCTGGGGCCTTGGTTGGATGATGGAGAGGAGCCCATCCTGGGGACAGCTGGACCAGACCATGGACGGCCCCACTGTGAGACCCCAGCCTGGTCTCAGCTTCTTTATCCTTCCTGCCCAGACCTGGTTAAAGCCTGAGGCCACCTCTCAGCCCTCCCTTCCTCCAGCCCCATTCCACCCCACTCCCTGGGAGTTAAGCCCCCTCACCTGACAGGGCCACTTCCATGGCCACTCACAGAGAAGTCTTTGTGCACAAGCTGGGCCTGGGGGATGGGCGGTGGTGGGCACTCCCACTTACATTCCGCCCAGCAGCCAGCAGCAGCCTCACCATCTTCCCATCTGCCTCTCCAGCCTCTCATCCCCTTTCTTGAGGAAGAATTCCCTCGGAGCCTTGGCCCTGGCTACTACCTCACCCTAACTCCCTCCCTCAGGACGGTTCCAGGACTGAGCTCCTTCTCTGCTGCTTTGCTCCAGCCCCTTGAGCCACACAGCCCTGACCACTGAACCTTTTTTTTTTTTGAGACAGAGTCTTGCTCTGCTGCCCAGACTGGAGTGCAGTGGTGCGATTTCAGCTCACTGCAAGCTCTGCCTCCCAGGTTCAAATGATTCTCCTGCCTCAGCCTCCCAAATAGCTGGGATTACAGGCATGGGCCACCATGCCCAGCTAATTTTTGTATTTTTAGTAGAGACAAGGTTTCACCATGTTGGCCAGGCTGGTCTCGAACTCCTGACCTCAGGCGATCCACATGCCTTGGCCTCCCAAAGTGCTGAGATTACAGGCTTGGGCCACTGCGCCCACCCTCTCTCCCTCCCTCCCTCCCTCCCTTCCTTTCTTTCTCGTAAGAGAGCTCAGAGACCAGCTTGTTGTCCCACAAAGTCAGAGCCAGTATCCCTGTCCCCCAAACCCCAGCAGCCCATCCCCTGCCCTGACCTCAGGGTGCTCACTGTGCTGAGGGACACCACCCTCCTCTTCTCCACATCTCTCCCCAGAAAGCTTCCATAAGCTTGCTGCCCCGCCATGTTAAGGGGGAAGGAGGGATTCTGAAGGCGGGTCGTAGAGACATCCCTTCCTCAAGTGGCTTCCAGGTCTTTCATATGTCCTTCATTTGTTTGGAACTAGCTGAGAGTCAGTTAAGTGTCTGGCTGGGCTCAGTGGACAACCAGATGCAGGAGTCCCCATCCCTCCTAGGAGTGGTTATGTGTTGCTCTCCAGCCACGCCCTACACCTGGCACCTCTGAGGCTATCAGCTAACTGCCCCAGCCTCCCTGGTATAGCACATAAGGCGCTTTACAGAGGAACTCCTACCTCTGTTTCCCTTCTCCTCCCAGCAGACTCCCTGCGATGGCCATGCTAGTCTCCAAACATACCCTGCTCTTCCTTACCTCTCTGCCTTCTTGAATGCTGTGGACTGTCCACCATTCACCTCCCCAGGCTCAGTAGACTGCCAAATGCCTGTTTTATCTCGTATCGCTTATCCCTTGGCATCCTCCAGGAAGCCTTCCTGAGCTCCCCGCAGGTCTGCAGGACAATGCTTTCCAGACTGTCTCCTAATCATTCGTGTGTCTGCCTCACCCAGTAGACTGCCAGTTCCTCAGAGCAGTGTTGTATTCCATGCTCCCCTTGAGCATAGCTCCTCTCACAAAGGAGACCCTCAGTGCCTCCTGAATGAATGCCCTGACATGGAGACAGGAGTACCAGAGGGAAGGGTATGGATGAGAGAGGTGCTACACAGGAAGAAGTGACGGGCTTTGATGTGGCTGATTTGGATGTGGGGACAAGTCCACGAAAATGTTCAGGAGTTGAACCTGGGGGCCTAGGAGTTTAATGAGGCCACCGACAGAGGTAGGGCAGCAGAAGCACAATGCGGAGGGAGCATCCGAACTGCCTGGGGAATGGCCCACCTCCCGGGTTTTGGTGGGAAGTGGTACTTCTATGCCACTACAGAAACTAAAAACACAGGTACTCTCTGGGTCCTCCTTGCAGCTAGAGCCTAGGCATGTGATCCAGGCTTGGCCAAGCAGATATACGGTTCTAATCCTTGAACTGGGGACAAATGGCAGGACCACAGGTGGTAGTTGGCAGTTGGGGGTGTCAATCCAGAGTTTAAAAGAGGTCAAGACTAGGCTGTGCGCGGTGGCTCACCCCTGTAATCCCAGCACTTTGGGAGGCCGAGGTGGGTGGATCACAGGTCAAGTGATTGAGATGATCCTGGCTAACACTGTGAAACCCCGTCTCTACTAAAATTACAAAAAATTAAGCCGGGCACGGTGGCTCACGCCTGTAATCCCAGCACTTTGGGAGGCCGAGGCGGGCGGATCACAAGGTCAGGAGATCGAGACCGCGGTGAGACTCCGTCTCTACTAAAAATACAAAAAATTAGCCGGGCGCGGTGGCGGGCGCCTGTAGTCCCAGCTACTCAGGAGGCTGAGGCAGGAGAATGGCGTGAACCCGGGAGGCAGAGCTTGCAGTGAGCCGAGATCGCGCCACTGCACTCCAGCCTGGGCGACAGAGTGAGACTCCGTCTCAAAAAAAAAAAAAAATACAAAAAATTAGCTGGGAATGGTGGCGCACGCCTGTAGTCCCAGCTACTCAGGAGGTTGAGGCAGGAGAATCGCTTGAACCCAGGAGGGTTGCAGTGAGCCGAGATTGCGCCACTGCATTCCAGCCTAGGTGACAGAGCGAGACTCCATCTCAAAAAAAAAAAGAGATCAAGACTAAAGAAACGAGGGAGAGAGGCTGGGTGCAGTGGCTCACACCTATAATCCTGGCACCCTGGGAGGCCAGAGAGGGTGGATCACCTGAGGTAGGAGTTCAAGACCAGCCTGGCCAACATGGTGAAACCCTGTCTCTACTAAAAATACAAAAATTAGCCTGGTGTGGTGGCACGTGCCTGTAATTCCAGCTACTCAGGAGGCTGAGGCAGAAGAATCGCCTGCACCTGGGAGGCAGAGGTTGCAGTGAGCTGAGATTGCACCATTGCACTCCAGCCTGGGTGACAGAGCAAGACTCTGCCTCAAAAAGGAAAAAAAAAAAAGAAAGAGAGAAAAAAAGAAAGGAGGGAGAATTTATAACTTCAAGTGATGGCTGAAGTGATAAAAGTGGTGAGAAGAGTGAGAAGGAAGAGAAAACAAAGTGCTACCACCAGAACCTGGGGACCACTTCTAGTTAAGGAACTGGTCCATCTGGAGGACTGAATGAATGGAACCAAGAACAGATGATCATGGATATAACAGAAGAACCGAAGGCCAAAGGAAAAGACTGAGAAAATAGCATAAAATTTTCCATAGGTCAAGGAGGACTGGGCTTGGGAAGGGCCAGAGGTCTTTGTTGAGGAGGCTGTGAGTGGCCTCTGAGAGGGTGCAGTTTTACCAGAGTTATAAAGATGGAAACCAGAGTGCTGGGCTGAGGAGAGAAGGTAGAGCATTTCCTCAAGTACACAGTCACCTTTCACAGGCCCCAGAGAGACCCTCAAACTGGCAAATGATACTGCCTGGCCACATCCTACCCTCTCACTCCTCCTGCTGATATTCCCCATTCTGATTCCTCCAGTACTTTTCTTATTACTCACAGTCCTCTAAGTCCTCTGGGAACTAAGCCACGTGCTGAGGCTTCTCTACCACCCCTGCTCCTGTGCTCAACCTTACATCTTTTCTGGGGGCTGCCATTCCTGGTCTTTCCCTCCTTCCTTCTCTCTCCATCCTCTCTTCCCAATTCCATTAGCAGGAAGATTCAACAGTATTTCTGGTCAGCCAGGAAGTCCTTCTTAGGGCCTCAGTCTCTTCCATGTCCACTAACCAGAGTAGGCTTTCAGTGCACACCTGGTCAGGCAGCCATCTTACAGGCGCTAGTTACCTAAGATGGCGGCCTCCCTCACCCTCCGCTTCCGTTCCCACAGCTTTGCCTCCTACCCCTGCCTCTTTCTTTCCGAAGCCTCAGCCCAACAAGGTGGGGGGCCAGGCTGGGGAGCCAAGGCCGGAGGAAGCAAGACAAAAAAGGACAGAAAAGCTGGCCCCTTGGCATCTCTCTTTGGCATTTGAGTCCAGCTCAGGGAGGGAGGGCAGAAAGGAAGAAAGAAAGTAGTGTAAGTTTTTATTTCTGTCCTCTTCCTGCCACCTCCCCCTAGTCCCTCCCCCAACACTTTGATGAAAACAAAATCTCTCCCTTTTTTTCTCTTCTCCAGCCCCCCTCCCCTTTTTTCCTGGCTTCTACCATGAGCCTCCTGGAATGCAAATGAACTGTATTATGCAAATGTATGCAAATCAGGCTTAACGAGCGGAAGGAGGGGGCAGAATGCCTAATGAGTAATGGCGGAGGGTGCAGATGGAGGGTGGCAGGAATGGCCCCCTCCTCTTCTCTGTTCCCACAGCCTGGAGGTTTGCTGGAGGTAGCCGGGTGTCCCTCACTTCTGGGAAAGAGTAGAAGGTCAAAGCCCCATCGCTTCAGCTGAGAAGTCCTGGGATGTCCTTGGCTGTGGTAGGTGAGGGGCAGGCGAGCTTGGGAAGAGAGGGGGTTAAGTATAAGGGGCTGGTGCTCACTTGCATTACCTTGCCCAGAGACACTGCATGCACCAGCTTCCTTGCCTATGTGGCCTGCTGATGGCAGAACCCTCAGCTTCCAGTGCTGAAAAGAGGGTGACGCTTATGCATGCCATGGCTTGTGCATCAGAAAGGAGGATTCTCAAGGGAAGATTCCCAGCCAGACCCAGGTTCTTTCTGGGGGTGGGGGTGAAAACTGTCTCTCTTTGTACTTTGGGAGTGGGGGGGGAGGTTGCCATGGCAACATAGCATGGAACACCCACCTCCCCAACATCCAGCCCCAGAGGACCTAGGAGTTGGGGGGGGGGATAATGGATTGACACCCCCTGATGCCCCCACCACCTGGCACTGCCAGCCGGAGATGGCAGCATCAAATCCTAGAGAGAATGGTCCCTTTGTTTGTAGGCTCACGGTGTTGGGGGAGCAGGCCTGGGCACACAGAAGGGCCTTTCCCAGGCCCCGTTCCAGTTTGCGTGACTCCCACTGGCCTCTGGAGACTACTTGTGGCCATCCACTGGCCTCTGTGTCCTGGCAGATGGTTGCCCCCTTGCCTTTTCTCCCATGGGCTTGCCAGCTACTGCTAGGTATGCCCTGTCCCTGAGGCCTTCCCTCCAAACCACTTCAGACAGAGGTAGCAGTCTGTTCCACCTTTTCCTGGCTTTCTTGAACACCTCACATGCCCAGTCATACATCCTGTCCTGTTTTGCATAGGGGCAACCTGCAAACTCCCCCAACCAGCAACAGCCCCGCTCCACCCAACCGAGGCAGAGAGACTCCTAAAGGAGGTATCAGACAGATAGAAAGGGCCAGGCTGAAATTCAGGAGCCTGGATCTTGGCATTTCTGCTAACCAGCTGGGCAACCTGATCACACCTCTTCTACTCCCATGGGATCTGTGAAATGAGGAATATAGGAATGATGATATCTAAGGCTCATTTCAGCTCTACCAGATCTATGCCCTCCGTATCTTACATGACCTAGGTTAAATCATTCTTGAAATATAACTTTCATTCTTCCTAGTACTGGAGCAGCCCTTCTCATTCAGACTTCCAAACATGAAGACAAACCCAATTGCCCAGAGACAGAATGCCAACTTCCCTCAGCCTTTGCCTCTCCCTGAGACTCCACGGCTGACTGCAAACAACTCCCACAGATTCAAAAATTTAGAGTCTTTGATAGCTGATTGTACAGACAGGAGGGTCCCTCCTAACCCTCTCAAAGGGGGTCAGCACAGCCATCTCACTCACCGCCCGGGAGCTGTCCGTGGTGCTGGATGTGGCTCTGTCGTCCACAAGGAGGAAGGAGGGTGTGAGGGTGTGAGGGTGTTGGAGCACCCACCCGCCCCAGGTGAGAAGCTAAAGGGAAGAGAAGAAGCAAAAACATTTGGAAACAGTAAGAAAAGGGAAAGAAAGATGATACCTGAGGAAAGTTTCTCCTCTCTGAAGACCTCCAAATCGTCAATATTACTTTGAGGAAGGAAGAGCACAAAAGTCATAGAATCTCTGATAAGTTAGCGTGTTCTTCCTCTAGATCCTATTTGGGCATCCACAGGGAGGTGGAATCATAGTCCCTTCCCTTGGGGAAGAGCTCAGATTGAGGTGGGAGATAAAGTACAGATCTCTAAATTCCAAGGCTCCTACAAGGAATTTAGAAATAATAATTAAAAAGATATATAACCTGTCTGATAGTATTATAGATATCAGGAGTTTGGGAGGAAAGGCGGGGAAAGGCCGGGGCGTGTTTGTGTGTGCACAGTCTGTTCCACCTACACAGGCATGTGAGTACATGCATACGTGTGTGTGTGTGTTTCCCAGGTGGAGAGGTGAGTCTGCATCAGTGGTTCATAACTTCAGGTGCACATTAAATAATAATGATGCCTAGGCATCATTTCCTCATACTCTGATTTCATGGGTCTAGGGCTGGGCCCAAACATCAACATTTTTAAAAAAGCTCCCCAGGTGATTCAGTGCATAACCAAGTTGAGAATCACTGATCTAGAAGAAAGCAGGTCAGAAAAGGTGCAGGGATGAAGCCTGATTAGCTGGAGGAAGAGGCAAAGCAAAGATCCTTAAAGAAGAAGGGAATGAATAGGGAGGAGAAAGACAAGCATGTAACTCCTCTCTCCTGGGAGCTCCTGGATGGCCCCTAGGCCTGGCCTGGAGATGAGACTGGCTCAGGTGTTGGCTTGTCTCCTCTGTGCTGTAGAAGCTCAAACCCACCCTAAGGCAATGAGACAAACTATCTCCCTACTGCAGTCCCTTGTGCAGGAAATGGGTGCAATGACCCTAAGGGGGTGCTGCTGCTCCCCTTTACCCAGAGGGTCCCCAGGGAGGCGGCTGTGGAAGGTAAACAGCAACAATGGTCCCTTTCAGTGTCCAGACTCCAACCCTTCAGCCCAATTAGCAGACACAGCAAACAGCAATTCAGCAGCCTTCAGCCGCTGTCATAACAAACTCAGAGCTGCCTTAATGGGGGGATTAGGGCAGGAGGAGGAGGGGGTGTCACTTCGGCCCTGGGAGAGCCTGGGTGGCAAGGAGGGGGTTCCCCTTTTCCCCTTATCTATCCTATCTAAATATGCACCCACCCACCCTTCCTTCCATAACTCTGCTCCTCATTCTCCTCAAAGCCCCAATAATGCTTTTATAGTTTTGTCTGCTCCTTCCCTCCAGTGATTTGAAGGAAGGTGAAAAAATAAATAACCAGGTTCCAACTTTCAAACCTTGAACATGCAGACTTCAAGAAGGACTTTCAGACATAGGGGCCTGTGTGTCTCTGGCGGGTTACCAACCTCAGGAATCGCATTGGGGACTGGGGGGATGTTGGTTTGTGAGGCGAAGGCAGAGAAGACATCCCTTCTTAAAGTCACTCAATTATGAAGACAAGTCTGCATGCTGATAGGCAGGTTTATAGGATTTGTTAATTATAGCCACTACCTAACTCGTCCTTTAATTTAATAAACTGTGTTTTTAGTTACTTAGAATCCAGGAGCTTAATGGCATAAACTTGAAATTATCATTTACACATGCTGTATTTATCTATGTAAGTCAGTTTACCCATCCTAAGTGCTCTTACCAATAAGTCTTAATATCCATTAAGGAGAAAGAAAACAATGGCCATTCTGCCACGTGGACTGCAACCTCTTCCCTTTATCAGACTTCCCAAGGGCTGTGCCTCCTCTCCCAAGTCTTCAGATACTTCCTACCTAGGTCCTCGGGAGTCTCACCTTGACTCCCAAAGCTGGAAAAGGAGGAAGTTCCTCAAGTTAAATGTTATGAGATCCTCAGTCAGGAACATGCCCCAGAGCTTCCCTTTTTACAATCTGAAACCAATCATATGCTATCAGTCTTTCCAAACTGTAGCCTTTAATCTTTCTGCAATCTAAGAATTACCCTTTAGCCATGAGTGTCATAACAGTATACGATCTTTTATATAGAATTCTTCATTTTCTGCACACAATAATCCTAAGAGTTTCTTATTCTCATTATACAAATATCAGAATTGAGGCTCAGAGATTTGTGTGCTTGATAAATGAAAACACCCAAACATGAACTTTGGTTTGGTCAGATTTGGTGTTTCTATTTCTGTCTCTCCCACGGTTTGCTGACTAGGATGATTCCTGTGACTGTAAGAACTTATCAACAAAACACTTTCCATGCCTGGAATTGGGTGGGAGGAGAATTTGTCCCAGAGTGAGGGTGTGGCTGATAATGCAACACTTGGGTCAAATATTTGAGAGAAAATTGCCTTTGGCTTCCTGGACCTAGAATTCAATAGGAGGGTATTAAAATGAGGGGCTGAGGAGAGAAATGAATAAAGAAGTCAGCTTAGAATTTGGTTTCCAGTAAAAATAGTAATGTAGCAGTATCTAAAGAATAGAACTGAAAATTCTTAGACACAGGCAGAGATGTGATTATACAAGAGAGGAAATTTCCTAACTGGTAACTCTGGTTAGGGCTTTCTGAGCCCCTTTTAACATGGCTTCCCTGCACTCCCGTCCCACAGTTCCCCTGTGGGGTTCAGTTGGAGGAGATGCGATCTGGTACAGAGCGGGTGGGGAGAACTCAGCAGTGTCACTGTGATGTCTGCATTTGGTAACCTCCTTCCAAATCCAAGAGTGTCTGTTCCTCCAGGTGTCCCTAATGTCACGACCGAGCTTCCCACCCACCATGGAGGCACACACATCCGACCTCACACCAGGTCACACACCACTCAGTTTCTCACCCTCATAAGCAGACACACACAGCTCACAAACACAGTCACCCATCACTCTCCTGACAACCCCACCCACACACCCACACGCACACACCATATGTTCACATAAGGCAGACACAAACCCTCACCCCCACATCCCTCCTGGGCTCTATTCCTCCTTTCCACTGAGGTGCTGGTTTTGTAGGGCATCAGTTCTCAGCCCCCCAGTTCCCTCTATTCTCCTTTGGATATCCTGAGGTAGCTCAAATGCGCTACCTCAGGAGACAACAATAATGATGTAAACCCATTGTGGTTACTGATACAGGTTCTAAGTCTCATGTGAATGAGCCTCAGTGGATCCCAAATTCACATTTCCAACAAGCTACATGAAAGGTTTTTTTTGTTGTTGTTGTTTGTTGGTTTTTAAAGGAATCCTATCTTTCTTGGTGCTGCTTCTCTCATCCCAGCTCCCAGCCCCTGCTCACAGGCAGGGCTTTTCTCTTGGTGCGCCTTCCCCCTCCTGTGTCCCATGTCCTCCAATCTTAGCTCAACCCCGTCTTACCCTCCCTGCCCAATCTCTCTCCAGTTGTTCCCACAGGCAAGTGCAGTAGAAAAAGCACTGGGTTGGGTTAGGCCAGGCACAGTGGCTCACGCCTGTAAACCCAGCATTTTGGGAGGCCAAGGCGGCAGATCAAGAGATCAAGATCATACTGGCCAACATGGTGAAACTCCGTCTCTACTAAAAAAAAATACATACAAATTAGCTGGGCATGGTGGTGCGTGCCTGTAGTCACAGCTACTGGGGAGGCTGAGGTAGGAGAATTGTTTGAACCCAGGACAGGGAGGTTGCAGTGAGCTGAGATCACATCACTGCACTACAGCCTGGTGACAGAGTGAAACTCCATCTCAAAAAAAAAAAAAAAAAAAAAAAAAAGAAAGAAAGAAAAAGCATTGGGGCACTGGGTTGGAAACCACTGAGTAACATTAGCAACTCATTTGAGTCCGTGGTTTCTCATTGGTAAAATGGGGTTAATAACAACTATCTCACAATGTTGAAAGAGCAAAGAAAGGGATGCAGGCCTAGTGCCCAGGAAGTAGTGTTAGGAATGATTAGTCCTCACCTAAAACCTGCTCCCTTTCTCCCTAATTCAGTCTCCACCTGCCCCTCCCCCAGAAAATCCAAATCCAAATGGCTGAGAAAGTAAGAAGCTACTAATCTCGCCTTCCTCTAAATCGCTAAAGGAAGAAGACATATGTATTCTAGGCTCCCTGAAGCACAATTTTTTTGAGTTTGGATTCTCTGATATTTCTCCCACATAATATATTATTGAATCATTATCTTCTAGCTATAAAATCAGGTCCTGGGAGGAAATGTTAAATTTACACAGGAAACTGGAGTCAGTCAAGGTCATTTTGTCCAGTTCTTCCACCCCCTTATTACTCCTTCCTGCCCCGTGTGCTGGAAAGCCAGGTGCAGGCGTATGGGATGCGGAGCTGTAGTAAATGCAGAGGGGGCTACTTCTAGCTTTGGCTACGTTGACTTCTATTCCACAAAGTGACTCTAGACTATACTCCTTTCAACTGCACCTAAACACTCTTTTGCTTAAAATATTTAGGTCAAGCCAGATAAATAGATTCTTTTAGAAAAGTCCCTGATTAATCTAATTCTTTGCTTTCTCTGGGCAGCATAGATACTAAGCTACACATTCCTTTGTGTTTGAGATCCTCAGAGCTTCTCGAGGCCATTTGTTCTTGGAGATGATTTCCAAGAGTGAAGATGGGGTGGAAAGGTTAGGTGTCCTAAAAAGCCCCAACTCAGCCCCTCTGGTCAGTAATGACAGAGCAGCATAAGGATCTTTCAAAGAGATTGGCCTCAGGTCCTGGGGCGGAAGGAGGAAGGCGAATGCAAATGGAACCGAGATTGCTCTGCACTCCACTGCCTCAGAACCCAGACTGGGAAAAAGGTTCTTCTGCCACCCTGCTTACATTTTTGAGCAACCCTCCCACCCCCAGCACCTTCAGTTCTATCTCCACCTATTTTCACATAGACACCCCCATCTTCCAACCAAGCTGGATAGCCCTACATGGCTTTAAGGAGCCGACTTAAGCAAAGACCAGTGTTCTCAGGTGACTTCCTCCAAACTCCCCCACCCAGCCATAGCTG